AAGTTGGTTTGAAAGTTATTTATCTAATCGGAAACAACGAGTGGTCATAGATGGTCAGTATTCACAGTGGAAAAATATAAACGCAGGTGTGCCTCAGGGGTCCGTACTTTGGTCCGTTGCTTTTTTTGATTTATATAAACGATATCACTGAAAACCTTGAATCCCATTCTTTATTATATGCTGACGACACTTCTTTGTATGATGTTGTCGACAATCCAGATACGTCTTCAACAAAATTAAATAATGATCTTATAGAAATAGAAAAATGGGCAAAACGATGGCTTGCTACTATAAATATAAAGAAGACAAAATGCATGACTTTTTCAGTTAAAAGACTCAAACCACCCCATCCCGATCTTTATTTTGCAAACGAGAAAATTTGTGAAGTTCTGCAACATACTCATCTTGGCGTCAAACTCACAGCAAACCTCTCTTGGAAAGCCCATATTGTAAATATTTTTGAAAATGCTAATAAAAAGTTAAATATGTTAAAAGGCCTAAAATTTAAAGTGAGTAGAGACACTCTAGGCAAGTTATATAAATCACTTATTCGTCCTGTTATGGAGTATGCGGACGTATTGTGGGACAACGGTATAGCCAGTGATTGTGATCTACTTGAGCATGTACAATATGAGGCAGCTAAGATTGTAACCGGGGCAATAAAAGGAACTAGTAAGCATCGCCTCATGCAAGAAGTGGGATGGGAAAGTATGTCTACTAGAAGAAAAATCCATAAGCTTATCTTATATTATAAGATTGTAAATAACCTGAGTCCATCTTATCTCAAAGAATTACTTCCTTTACAAGTCTCCGAAAGAACAAACTATTCTCTAAGAACGGTTTCAGATTTTTCTCTTTTTAATAGTCACACTGAACGTTACAATGCATCCTTTTTTCCATCTGCTGCAAGACTGTGGAATAGTATAAATATCGAGACGCGTTCGCTAGTTTCACTCGATTTCTTTAAAAATGCTTTAGTTAGCATTTTTGACTTACCTGTTCCAAATGGCATTTATAATTTATCAAATGATAGATTTTCCTCTGTTTATCACACTCGCCTGCGCTTAGGTGCTTGTGCACTAAATTTCTACCTCTTTAAAATAAGATGTAAAGTATCCCCAGTTTGTATGTGTGGTTTTAATACTGAAACTATAAAACATTATTTTCTTTATTGTCCAATTTTTGCTGCCCAAAGACAGAAACTGCTCTCCTCTGCTGCTCAGCTGTTTGCTGACGATTGGTCAAGAATAAACGACGCACAAATTGTTGAAATGTTTTTGCATGGATCATCTTTATTATCATTAGAATTAAACAGAGAGTTATTTTCTCTTGTGCAGTCGTACATAAATGAAACAAAACGTTTTCATCCGCACGATTCTTGACTTCCGTCAGTTCTTTTTTTCCCTCTCTTTTATTATATACTTGGCATGTTATGAAATACTGTGTGCAATTGTAAGGAGTGAGCCCCCTAGATGAGCGCATGCGCTCTTGGGGCAAACTTCGTTTGTTTGAACAATTAAAATATGTTTAAATCAATTATTACTATTGATGCCTATAGTGCTGTTCCAACGTGCAATAATGTGAAAAAAGAGATGAAAAAGTTTTTTTCATCAAGTGAGAAAAAGAATATTACTTCTATAGATGTACAAAAATATATATATTGCTGCTTAGAAATACTCCCCATCACTTTTCTAATAATGGTCCGTTCCATAGTTGTTTAGCTTTCCAGACATGAATTATAAATTCTGAATAATGATTTTGAGGGCTTGCCCAATCATGTAAATACCCACCAATCAGAAGACTGTATTTTAATGCTAAGGGACGGACCATTAGATATTTGAGGGGAGGGTTGGGCAAATACCAAAAAAAAATTCATGCACAGAAAAAATCCAGAAAAAATATCATGCACAACAAGCCTATTGAAAAAAAAATGAGCATAAAATCGTAATGCAATTATTCTAAAACATTAAAATGTGTTTTACGACAGTCGAAAAAAAAAATTATGCCTTCTTCCCCCCCTCCCGTCGACGAACTTTCCGGGAAAAATTTTTTAGGTTATGTTAAAAAAAATATTGTGCAAAGGAATGTTGCAGAAAAAAAATTCTTGCAAGCAATTGGGGGTTGAAAAAAAATTCGTGCACAGAAAAATTGCCCAACCCCCCCCCCAAATATCTAATGGTCCGTCCCGGAGTTAATCATATTCAAAATTTGAAATTTTATAGGGCGGGTTGCAGACTTGCAGTGTTTGTTAGTCCGCGTGCAGGCCCAAGGGAGGCTAAGTGTTTGTTTGCCTGTTTGTGAAAAGAAATACTTAAAAGACAACGCTTAAAAACATCAAAGAAGCACAAAATCCGAAGTTAAAGACAGGAGTAAGGTATATTCTATCATTTTGATGTGAAATGTTGATATTTTAGCGAGATAAAGTGGTTAAAACTACTTGTCGAAGTTCACGACCGCAAGTCGCTTCACGTTCGACGTTCGTTTTGTACTTTTGTTCTGGCTAAAAATACTGAATTATAGCTTACATTTCGTGAAGTTTAGTTTAAATTAGTAGAGAGAAGAGTGCATAAAGTATTTAGGGTATTTTGGAGCTAAATTTGTTTTAAAACTTGTCATTTTAGCGAAAACAAGAAATGTTGAAATGTCGTCCACGTGGTTGCTGCGAGGAGACATCGGGCATTGTAATGAATGGATGACAACGTGTGTCGCTGGGCCGCAAACCTATTCCCTCACTGCGGTAGGCAGTCAAGTATTTTTAACCTGCACATTTTTGTTTTTATTTCCCGTGTTTTTATTTTTTGTTCATAAATATCATGACTCATGACTTTAAAGCTGGAAGGAGTTGAGATTCCCCACTCAACTGCATGCCTTCTGAATATTTATAGACTCCATTTTTACATGCTACCATTTTACCAGTAAGAATTTTTTGAAAATTTTGTGATTTGAAAGCTGTTGCATTTCAACTATACCGAGTGCAACTATAAATAAATTCTTTGTACGTATAAAATAGGTACGCCGTATGACAAGTCCAAAGCATGCATGGGCAGTGTAGGCAGTTGTGATATTGAAAAAAATCGATATCGAAAAAAAAATATCGATAATATCGACTATATCGAATTTTGTAAATGAGAAAACGTAATTTAGTCAACTTGCATGTATACGCATCACAAACAGTTCAAAACAGTACATGAAACCAGTCATGGTATGTCTCAAAGATTTTAAAACAACAGTTTATCCGTTTATGAAAGTTTAAAGATATATTTACAAGCCTAATGGTTTCGCAGCACGTTTGTTCGCAATTGCCGCCATATGTACGTTGTCTAAACTTCACTGCTGAAAACAATAATTGCCAAATAATGAGAGATTAAGTTGTTTAGTTACAGCTTTCAATATTTTTGATATGCGAAAAATCGAATATCGATATTTTTGAAATATCGATATATCGCAACTGCCTAGGGCAGTGTCATTTCAACTTTATTATTTTTCCAAGGTCTCTGTGAGACTTTGACTCATTCAGCATGAACAAAAGCAGTACATGTAAAAAGAAAGGCGCCGCTTTTTGGGTGTACTGTTTGTACATGTTGAATGGCTGGAAGTGTTGCAGGTATCTTGGGATATCTAATAAAGTTCTGATGTTATTTCAGTGCTGTTTCTATAAAGGGCAGCTTGCTATGGCTATATGCCTTAGCCTAAAAAAATAGTGTTATTAAACTACATGCTAAAAGTTTCTATTGGCTGTTAGAATGGTGGCTTGTAAGTGGGGGTATCTTGCTAGGATTTGCACATTTAAATATTTACAAGTGCATTAGGTCTCTTAGGTTTTAGTTTAAGACCAACATGAGCGAGTGAGATAAACTCGACTAGCTTAAGATAAGGCATCAAGCGTGAAATTCACGCACTAGACCCCTCAGGATCGGACCCCAAACCTTTTTTCAACACCAAATGTGAAATTACCCCAACCTTACCACATCGTTGAAGAGTTATGGTGGATATCTTGGGCAAATGTGCATTTTCTTGGTGGATATCTTGGGCAAATGTGTAATACCATGAGGAATATCTTGGGCAAATGTGCATTTTCTTGGTGGATATCTTGGGCAAATGTGCAAATACCATGAGGAATATCTTGGGCAAATATGCAATATGAAGGATATCTTGGCAAATATCTGGATAAATTGGTATATATGATTACTTGTTTTAAATTACTAAAGAAGGATAGTGTCGTAACGTTAGGCGAGACTTTTTTATTCATTGGTTTACGGATCCGCCAACCGTAAATATTCAGAAAGTAAAAAATAAAATAAAAATTTGGATGTCAAAAAATTTTACAATTTTAATTAATTTGGGGTTCTGACATGAAGAACACTTCAAGTGAACTTTGAGTCTAGGTACTGCTGGCTCATGTTATCGTTGTGACAATCAATATGGAGATTAGCCACGGTTTTTTTGCGTTTTTTTGAAATTGACGTTAAAAATTTTATTAAGATTATGAAATTTGGTTCTCATTTATACTCAGTTCGTTTTTTTTAAAAAAAATTTCCGACCTACCGACCTCTTATTTTTAAAGTCAAATCCGTAAACCAATAAATAAAAAAAGTCTCGCCTTAGTGGATATTTATAATATTGATAAAATGGGGGTTCCCTGAGAATTGGAACAAAGTAAGGCTGCCCGATTAAGTGGAAACAATATGGCGGAGTGTAACAATCTAACAATATGGCGGACTGATAAATCTGTAAAAATGATGCATGTTTAGAACATGCAAAGAGCAAAAAAATGTGGCATGAACATATCACGAAACATGCTTCTTACAACTACATGCTATGTTCATAGGAATTTGAATAAGTTTTTAGTGGGGCCAACAAAAATATGTGGGTTTCCGGTTTCTTCTTATAAAAACTTAGGTAGGGTAGGTCGGTTTTAAGTTGTTTTTTTAAACTTTTTTTTTAAATTTTCCTAACAACCAGACGCCATTTTGTTTAGTCGGTGCTTCCACATCCAAAGATAAATTTCCCAAATATTCCCTCGAATTTCAATTTTCCACAAACTTTTTCCTCTAAGTGGAAACACAAGCATGATCCAATAAAAAAGTTTAGGGTCGGGATTTCGACGTCCAAAAGCTAGGTAGGGTTGGGAAACCGGAAACCCACATATTTTTTTGGCCTAGGCATAATTTTTGTTTTATTTTCATTTATGATTTTCTATCAATGCCCCAACTAGTTTATATGTAATGTATAACATATTTTGTAATACCAGTATAGAAAATAATAGAGTTCATATAATGTTTATGTATCTAATACAACTACATGCTGTGTTGATAGGAATTTGAATAAGTTTTTAGGGTTGAATAAGTTTTTAGTAGGCATGATTTAGAATTTTTGTTTTATGATTTTGTATAAATTGGGGCCCCAACTAATACTGTATGCTATATATATATAATATATGGTTGTAAAATTTATAATTGACACATGGACTAACAGTGTCCCACAGCAGTATGCATTATAAGTCGTTGATTAACCACAAATCTTTCATGGAAAGCCCATATTGTAAATATCTTTGAGAAAGCCAATAAAAAGCTTAACATGCTTAAAGGTCTTAAATATAAAATTAGCAGAGATACTTTGAGTAAGTTATATTTATCACTTATTCGTCCTGTCATGGAATATGCAGACGTATTGTGGGACAGTTGTACTGAAAGTGAAAGCGATCTTCTTGAACACGTTCAGTATGAAGCAGCGAAACTCGTGACAGGGGCTATGAAAGGAACAAGCAAGCATCGTCTCATGAGAGAAGTAGGGTGGGAAAGTATGTCAACTAGAAGGAAAATTCACAAACTTACTTTATATTATAAAATTGTAAATAATTGTAGTCCCAGTTACTTAAGTGACTTACTTCCTTTTCAAGTTCGTCGGAGGACACAACATAAATTAAGAAATCGTATAGATTACTCACTCTTCGCTTGTCGAACAGAACGGTTTAGGAAAGCCTTTTTTCCTTCCACAACAATATTATGGAATAATCTGAGCAATGAGATACGTTCTACAGATTCAATTACACACTTTAAGAACAGTCTACTAACTCATTAAGCGGCAAGCTGTTACAATGTTTCTACCCGCCTAAGGCGCAAGCAATATGGCGAATATGTGATTGAATTCAAGAGCTTTCACCAAAATGGCAATATCTCAGAAACAGTTGCATAAAAAAATCTGATCTTTTCAACCAAACATTAGTGATATATGATTGACCAAATTTAGTTTAAATGACTTTGCATACCTACATATAGCATTAGTTTTTTCAATGAGAATTTTTATTTGTAAAGCAGTGACACTTTGTTTTTCATGTCACTCATCACCTAAAGGGGCAATATCTCCATAAATTTATATAAAAACAAAAAAAAAATCATTTACTAAATTAGTACATATCTATATTATAACCAATTTTCATCTTTTGGGATATGAATTAGAAAACGATCAAAAATTATAAAAAATACTCATTTGGTTTTTTTGGGCAAGATATTTACAACACGAAATTTAGAACAGTAACTAAGTGTTCAAATCCAACAAAATGTGCAAGCCAAAACACAGTGCTTGTTCATCTTTGGAGTTTTTAATTACCTCAAATATATTTAAAAGGACATATGGTACTAGAATTTATTTATTTTCAATATAAACCAAGGATGGGAAGGTGAGAAAATAGGAATTTTCTGAGGTGTTTTTAACACAGACAATGACAGCCGACATTTTCAAAGGCAAATTGTGGTGACAAAACCAAAAGTTATTCACTTCTCTACTCAAAGCACTGAAAAACACCATAAAGAGAAAAACATTTTAAACATACATCAGGTAAGCCTTTTAGCTCAATTTTCTCATGTTTCTGTTTGGAAAGAAACGGTTTTTAGCCAAAATTATTTTGCGCGCCAATGTAGGCTGCTATAAAATGTCAGACACGCATTCTCTTTTGAAGTCTGGCTCTGAAAAACAATCGCTTTTTTTTAGTTTGAAATAAGCTTTCATAAGGACTAATTGTGTAGAAATGTTATCTGTATGCTCAAATGAAAAAGATAACCTAATAGTCAGGTATTCAACATAGCTATAAAAGGGTGAAATAAGGACTTTCATCTTTGGTTGTTTGTCAGACATGAGAAACCACATTAGTGCCATTTTGTCGCGCGTGCTATTTTATAAAATAAACACCTCAAAACCATAAACTTTTAGTTCAGAAAATAACAAAGTTTCCCATACACATTAGTAAAAATGTTCTAGTGAAGCGATTTCATGATAAATAAGTGAGCTATGGGCCCAAAAGAACTGCTAAACTATGTTTTTGTTAGGACTTCAATTTCATGGCTTCCCGCAAAGGAAGCCATTTCAGAGAGAAGCGGCATTTTGCAAGCAACGGTCGCGACCTATTTTTGATATCTTTTCCTTCTGATTCAACGTGTAGTTACTAGAAAATGAGGTTGCATCAACATTATTATCTGCTTTATCGATTTAAAGTTTTATGGGGATATAAAACCCAATAGAAAAAGCGTTTTAAAAGCTTTAGAACTCAAGTGCAGACTTTTTGAAAATTCGCACGCGGCCAGCAAGCACACTAATTCAATACACTTATTTTAAACCACAATATGTCTGAAACGAGTTGTCGTTTTAAGACTAAATTGATGAAAATAGATATAACAGTGATTTTGGAGTATCCTACTTACTTAGTGTAATTTAATACTCGAAGTATTCTTGCCAAAAAGGGCACGTACGCACATAGTAATTTAATCTGGTGTCGTTTGAAACATACTTTAGCTAAAATAACAACTTGAACAAGAAGACCAACAATGGGGTCACGAAAACAGTTGAAATTGTGCCCAAATTTGCATAAACACAGTTCGTCTAAAAAGATAACTTTAAACTAGATTCAACCAACTTTAATGCAGTCGAATTTTGTGAGTGTTTGATCGCATATTTCTACTCAAAAATACCCTTAAAAATATCGTATCTGCTCACTTGAGTTCCGTGTTCAT